TTATATTCTTCAATCATCACTCAAACATGGAACTTAAACTTACCTCGAATAATATCGAAGCCAGTCGCATTAAAATTTTTGAAGACTGGACCAAATATATCTAAAAAAAAAGAAATCAAGATAAGTGTTATGCACAAAGACGAGTAGAACTTATAGACCATTTTTTGATCCCTAAAGAAAAACTTTCTCAATCCAATAGTATATGTATTATTAACTTCTGTTGCATACCATAAGAGAACATCTATATATGGGTCATAGACGATCGTGTTTCGTTTTCGAAATATCTAACTTTTTTTTGTCAATAATATGACGAAAAAAGTACATGTGTTTTCCAACATCTATTCGTATAAAAAACACATCCGTCAGTCTTGAAATTCTTGATGGAATAAACACTCAACAATATCTCTCTATTCTCAGAAAAATTTAGATATTTTGAGATCGAAACAAGTCTTTCTGTAAAAAACTATATGAATTCTGTTTTTTTTTTGATAAATTAATAATAACTTACATTTACTAGGGCTACATGTATATATTACTTGAAGTTCTTTCGATGTATCCGGACAATCATCAACTAAAATTTCATTGGTAACCATAAATGTACAAGTTTTTCCTGTTTTGCATTGATCTCGTACAGTTTTAGTTACTTCTTCTGAACACGAGCGTGGAACGGATTTCGATTGATATATGGCCGAGAGAATTGTCAATGTCGAGAATGCGCTCGACTGATCACAGAATGCAGTAAAACGTTTTCCCAGATCAATTTTCAATATTTCTAAATGAAGAAATTTATATATATAAAATAATATTTGTACATCCTATTGTATACATTTACCTTGATTCTTCCAAGCAAATTGAAGTTCATCGATGAGCATTATTGAACCACCTTTTGCAAAGGCAAGTGTATAATAATCAAACGACTCCGTATGTGCATCGTCTTTGTTGGAACCATAAAGAGGGCTTACTCGTCCAGCAGTTGTAAAGAATTGAATACCCGTTATGAAACGAATGAATTTATCATCGGACTGCCAATTACGTGTTCCTGCATACCAAGTGATCTTGTTAATTCTTTCACCATTTTCCATAAGATACTTTTCAGATAATAACGGTGGAGTACGTTCGCTTGGATCGCCATGATAAATTTTTGGAATAAATGAATTCTCATCGCCATAGATAAATCGAATAGCAAAGAGATAATCTGGATACCAAAATACTTCTACACCAAGACAAGGTGTCATCATTGAAAGGTTCAGATCTTGTGAGTCATCAAATGGTGTAGTAAGAACTCCACCATGAAGAAAGCCAAGTTGAATTATACCTTATGAAAATATATAATTTCAATGTGAAATAAATTGATTTAATAAAGTTCCTACCTTTTTCTACTACAAAAGTGTCCATTTTTGTCATTTCCAAAGTAGTAGTTGAGCTTAATACTGTCGTCGTCGTTTCAAAAATTGATTCACTTGATGTTTCAATATTTGATGCACTCGATGTTGCAACATTCGATTCACTTGATGCTTCAATATCTGATTCACTCGATGTGTCATTGATTTGATATAGTGTATACATCGGTAATACTTTATCGAAGATATGTTCAAAGCCAAGAGCATGACCAATCAGATGAACAGCAGCCGTACGAAGTTTAATACCACTAAAACTATCACTATAGAGAATTCTTTTAGATTTTTTGTTTTTAAAATGATTTTTATACTCACTAATCAATCCACTTTTCTCTTAAGTCAAAATGTATTTCTACTGGAGACGAAGGAAGAGTTGCACCATAACATGTATCAGGTCCACTCAAAAGTGGATCATTCATTTTCTCGACGAATGCCAAATGAATATCTGCCTTTTCATCTTGTGTTACTTCATAAAACTTTATTGACGTAAGTTTGGTCCAATCATAAAATGCATCACGAATTTGTTTACGAGCTCTAACTATACCTAATTCTGGAATGTGTGTATGATTTAATGCCCAAGTGACAATGTCTTTCTCCCTAAAGCAAAAAAAATGGATTTTGTATAATTGTACAATCAACAGTATCAAGAATACTGAACTTTTCTTATCGAAACAAAACTCACCCTAGTTTTCCAAACTTTGAATGATTAAAGTTGTCTTTCAAGCAACATCGTTCGAAATTCATGATCATCAACGTATCTTCATCAACTATTCCAGTGGGTTGTAACTGATATGTAGTTTGAAAGGCTTTTAACATTGATCTTATATTGATCTGACAATTATTCGTACGAAAATGCATAGGTAATTTTTTAGCTTCATTTTCACATGTATCATAACCATATTTTTTGAGATAGAACATGGCATCTGCTTCTGTTTTGATAGAAGATGGTTGAGATTTGTCATCTCGTTTGGATAATGGATTTGCTGATACCATTGAGACGATTAGTTGGATGAAGACAATTAAAATACACACACGAAGAGAAATTAGCTGCATCGTGTACGTATTGAACGGTGAAATAATCAGTTATGATCGTTGCTTCACCTTCTCAATAATATATATATCGAAGAAACAATGAAGGCCATGCATCACTTCACACACTCATTCTCCTTTCTTAATGATGACCTGGACGACATGTGATTGTCTCTTGTATGACCGTTGTCTGGAATAGATAATTTAAGTTAGGATACACCAATCACGTTATTTAATTCAAATTTAAATTAATTCATTTTTTTTCTATTCTGACGATCGTCATTTAATGTGTCTAATGTTATAAATATCTCTTCAGTAATGAACAGACAACATAAATTCAAAGGAAGAGTTGATACGGCTAGATTCAAGAGACTATACTTGTTTATTTCAAACACTATTCTCATTTATACTCTGTACTATGGGATGCATGAAAAATGAATAAGTAATAATTTTGTTTCCTTGGATGGAGAAAATTGAGATTTAATGTCTATTCTGATGCTTGTCATATGTTATCTATTGATCATTTTATGTTCATGTGCCAATCGTTAAGTCGAGAGTGGTGAATTTGTCTCTCGTTCTTTGTGCTTTTTTTTTAACATAAAAAACAATTGAATAAATATTACAAACAATTTAAATAAGACGATGAAGTTTCAACTGGTAATACACATTTCCTGATTCCCAAAAAATCCAATGTCAATACGTTGTTCAATTATCGAAGACATCTTTTTGAAATATTCTCTACTATATTTCCTTAGATATACGAGAACAATTTAAATGCAAAGAGTTTTCTTCAAAGAAAGCATTGCAACATTCTCTTTGCGATTATGAGAAAAGCTTTTCGATTGTTCGACTTCATGTGAAATATTAATTTTAGATAATCCCACGGATTCAATATATCTACACTTATAAATTTCTTTGCAGAATATACTTTAGTTAACTTGTTCTAGTTCTACTAACTTTATAGATTTATAATTCTCATCCTCACAGGTAGTAAAAATACCATAGTATGTGGAATAATAAGAAAGAATCGAGATATTCAATCGATCTAATTATCCTGAGAGTTTTCAAGTAGAATAAGCGAAGAGACATTCACACCCATCTTTTTACTTCATCCGAGAAAATTAAAAACAAATAAAAAAGCAGAAAATAATTATTCAGAAAGAAAAAATTCCACTCTTAAACTTATAATGACCTTTATGATAACTGATTCTGCACTAAATAGGTCATCTTCAAAATAATTATCGTTCGTACTGAATCGATGCATAGCCGTAGGATATTGCACATATAATTAGTTCACGATATTTTCATGAAGATACATATTTCTTGTATATGAATTGTCCATAACTTCTTATCTGCAAAAAGAAAACGATTCACTCAACCATATACAAGTCATCAAAAACAACTGTCTTCACTCATTCATCACTTTTGATATATATTCATATCTATTGAAAGAACAAAAAAAAGAGAACGTTTTTAGGTATTATTTTTTCATGAAGAATAATGCAAGTGTTAAAAATTGTTTTATATAACGACAATGAAAACGACACATTAGAAATCAATGAAGCTCAACATGTATATCAATATGATAGGTGATATGTTTTTGCTCGAAGACAATATTTCTTTATGTATATATATATAGAACGAAAGAATTGACATTTGAAATAGAAATAAAAACAGTCGTGTATAGATCATGTTTGTTTCTAATGATATTGATAAAAAAGTAGATGTTTTCGAAATGAAAATCAGTCATGATTTATTCGCTGATGGAATTGTCGAAATTAATAATGATCTCGATCATCAATTAAAATCAAAGATTATTGATGATACATCGAATAGTGGTATATTCGTCGAGGAAATAGTTGATGATCCTGATGATAAGAAACTTCTTCGTAAACTTGATCTTTATCTCATTCCTGGTATGACGTTACTCTATTTACTTAATTATCTCGATCGAGTGAATATTGGACAAGCTAAACTCAATGGTATTACGACTTCATTACATCTTACAAGTGTTCAGTACAATACTTGTTTAAGTGTTGTCTATGTGACATATGTTGCTTTTGAAGTTCCTTCGAATTTAATTCTGAAAAAATTACGACCTAGTGTTTGGATTCCAATTATTATGGTTACTTGGGGAATTATTACGACTCTTACAGGTCTTGTGAATTCTTATGGTGGTCTTCTCGCCTGTCGACTTCTGTTAGGTGCTCCTGAAGCGGGATTATTTCCAGGTAAATATCAGCTGAATAGTAATTCAAAAAGAACGTACTTTTTCTAGGTGCGACATATTATCTGTCCAGTTGGTATACAAGACGTGAACTATCATGGCGTGTCAGTATTCTATTTTCTGCTGCTACACTAGCGGGCACCTTTGGTGGTATACTCGCGTATGGAATTAACCATATGAATGGTATAGGTGGACAAGAAGGTTGGCGTTGGATATTTTATATAGAAGGCATTATAACTGTTGTTGTCGGAGTATTGGCCTTCTTTTTCATCAGTGATTTTCCATCGAATCGTCCGAAGTTTCTTACTGAGTCAGAATGTAATCGTGTCATAGTTCGCTTACAAAGAGATGCCGGACCTGGTGGTTCTGAACATTTCAGTTGGCAACAAGTTAGTGCTACATTCTTTGATTGGAAATTGTATGTTTTCTCATTCGCTTACATTGGCATTCTTGTACCACTTCTCTCTCTTTCTCTCTTCTTACCAACCATAGTTCAAAATCTTGGCTTTGTCAGTTACAAAGCGCAACTTCTTACTTCTCCACCATATGCTTTTGCTTTCATTACAACAGTTACGACAGCTTATTTTTCCGATAAATATGTGCGACGTGGTATTTTTATTCTCTTTTGGTTGGTAATAACTATGATTGGTTATATCATTCTGATTGCTGTGAACAATTTAGGTGCTAAATATTTTGCTGTTTTTCTTGCAGCTGGTGGTATTCCGCCATGTGTAGCAACATGTATTACTTTTCTTTCCAGTAACACCAGTCCTCAAACAAAACGTGCAACATCATTGGCATTTATGATTTCTGTCGGTAATTGCGGTGGAATTATCAGTGGTCAAATTTATCGAACACAAGATGCACCTCGTTTCGTTTTGGGTCATGCTGTCAATCTTGGATTTTGTGTTTTAGCAATTATTTGTATCAGTATTCTGATGATTGGTCTTCGATTAGAAAATCGCCGACGTGATCGTTTGTATGGGCCGGTAACAAATAATTTACCAACAAGTTCCACTACTGTAGTGGATGTTTTCGGATTAGGTAGTGTCGATGATAGAAAACGATGGGGCTATGAAAATATGTCTGAAGAACAATTACGTGATTTAGGTGATAAACATGCTGCTTGGCGTTATATTATTTGACAGGAGTTTTTTGTTATTCACTTTACTAATAAATATATTGATAATCTTTAGACATATGAGTCGATGAACTATACATCAGTTTTTAAATGTGACAACAATTGTGCAATATAATTTATAATGAAGTGCAGTATCAAAACAGACATTTATAGAAATGTCAATAACACTCAGAGAAAACATCTCCTCACTAATGATATTTCTTTAAAGTCATATTAAGAAAGATACGACAAGTTGAATTCCAAATCAAATTTTAAAATTCATTTTTTGACTGAAATAAATTTGTATACTCATAGATGATTATCGATAGAGTCACAAAATCTAATATAATAAAAGACTGAAAATTTTGAATATTCTGTAACGATGAATTTTTCATGTCTTTAACGATAAAGTATGACTAACAGTTACGATACAAGTTTTTAGAACATTCAAAATTATAAGCGAAGACATTACCAAACATACATATAAAAGTTTTAGAATTATACAATAAAAAGCGTAAAAATAAAGAAAAGACAACATAATACTATATAGATTTCTTCAAAAATTCGAAATTCAACAATTTTATCTTTATGGATAAACTTGACTAGGAAATCTTACATATTGTTATTTTGTTGTTGTGAGAAATCACAAATTAGCGAAAACTTTACGTTGTTGGTGTTATTTGTCTCTGTGGAGTATCATTTATTATTGGTTCGATACGATGATTACTACAATACCATTTACAAGTCATTATTGAACGCAATATTTTGATTAGTTCACCACGATATGAACGTGATACCATTGTATATATGTAAAATGATAAAACAGAAAAGAGATAGATTAGTGATTCACCTACAAACTGTGCTAATCTTTCAATAGCTAATCGTTCAGGCGACTTATTTCCGATATTGAGTGTCACAGCATTATAGAAATATACGACCATTAATGGTGCAATTAAAATGCTATAAACAGCAACTTGAACGAATAACATTAATAGAACTTGTCGATCACGTTTACGTTGCAAATTTTGTTTTATATTTCTGTTTTCAAGTGTTTGACCATTATTCTTTTCACGACGCTCTCGTTTTAAACCAAGATTATGATGAATGAACAGAGTACAGACGATCATTATCATAACTGGCAAAACACCACCAGCAACAGTCGTAAAAATACTATGGTAAAGTGCAATAGTAAAACTAAACAATATTCCACATCCACCTCCATATAAATTGTAAAAAATCAGAAGATGAACAGGTAATATTAACCAAATAATTACAATTATAAATATAAAACGACAAGCTATATGAACTTTAGCAAAATTTCTTAAACGTACATCGTTAGATGATATAGCTACTCGATCAAAACAAGCTACAGCTAAACACCAACGATACATCATAGAACTTGATTGTAAAATATAGATACGCATCTTGCAAAAAGCTAAAATTGTCAGATTTGGATCTACATGATTTAGTGCATATATTGCTGCTCCAGTACCCATACTTAGATTGATTAACATTGCCACAGATGCAGCCATAAAATCTATAAAAAATTAGTATGACGTTTTCATTATTTCTATAAAATTATGACTTACATATGCAACAAGAAACTGTACGAAATTGTCGTCGTATCAAGAGTAAAATGTTAAGACAACAACCAGTTACACCAAAAATAAGATAAATTGGATAGACATAACGAGCAATTTGTTGTTGAATTGAAAATATTGTACTAATCAATGATATATTTGGAGATGACATTTTCTGAAGTATTAAACAAAATAAAATTGAATATCTCCATTGCGACTTGACTAAACGAACTGATCTTCTTACCAATGTTAGAAGCATGTTCAAGATGTATATTAATAAGGACGAACCCAGAGAGATTCTTTGTCCCTATCCGTAAATAAGTAAATTTTTTTGATATAAACCTTGAACATGTCTCTATCGTTGGTAAATTGACTTTTAGCCCATCCTGTATATGTTGATAATAATTTTCTCGAGTAACATATTTGATAAATTGAGTCTAACTTTACTTACGTAGATATCTCTAGAAAAATTTAATTTCTTAATACAAATGAAATTACTTAGAATTCACCAGAGCAAACAAATATGAGAAAAGAACTATCTAATATCTATGAACTTTGGATTAAAAACTCTAGAAATAACTCACTAATTAATTAGTGAAGGAATGTTAGATTCACCTGAAATATCATATTGCACTTCTTTTCTCTCATCTCATAATTCGATATATTTCCCTCAACGTCATCATATAATTAGAAAACACACGATACTATATTGTCTATTTTTTCAAGGATAGTTTATTACGCAGTGATTAACTTCTTATGAATAATAAAAAAAAGGAACACAGTTGATATCTTTTGACATCGACTAGAATTAATCAAGTAATGTCAAAACATCTGTTTTATTATTCTTTTTTGGTGCATATTTTAATGAATATTTCATTTTAATCCACCGAATATTCGTATGAAAGAACTGATTAATTTATCTTTAATGAAAATAGAAAATAGGAAAGTTTTCATACAGTATTATAAATTCGGTATTTTCTTTTGAATTAATATGAAAAATGAGCAGTCATCTTATTCCACAATGGTGAATATTGCTGAAACTCGATGAATGTTTGATATTTCGAGATAGAATGTGTTCTCAATTAGTTATATTCCTATCTGTTAAATCATTTTTCGAAACTAAAGAAAAGGAAATAATGGACTGAGAACGACTAGGGCATTTAGTTCTGAAAGATATTTCTAAACTTATAACTTTAAATCAAAATTTCTCTCATGTAGACACAAGATAAAGAGAATATTTAGCTTTTTTAGTAAAGCGAATTAAATGAGACCATTTATTATGCCTCACCCGTTATTTTCCTTGAAACACGACTTGCCTGAAAAGATTTTCTCGGAATCACAAGTTTAGAAATATATAGTCGAAAATATATTCATACTGAGTGTATTATTCCGATGGATTTTATTTCCTTTTATTTATTTAAAAAAAAATTATTACTAAGAAACATATTTAAATAAAAAAGACTCCAGATGACCAAGTAAAGATACAATCTTCGGTATATCTTTTTTTCTATTTTGTTTTTTTAATTCGAATCAATTGGATAAAGGCGAGAATTAGAAAAAACATAGCCATGCCAGTCAGAGCAAGAAAATGTTTCCACAAATCCCAGTCTGTAGCATGTGCAAGATTTCGATCGTCGAGTACTTCATCACCCGTTAAATGACAAACTTCAGTTCCATTCGTAGTTTGACAAAAAGTTAGATGACGAAATTCACTGATGGTTAGAATATTTGAAGCATATCGAAAAGCACTAATCCATTGAACCCACGATATCCATGAAAAAACTGTTGTCAAATCAACTACGAAACCACTAAATACCATCATCACTACAAAGACAAGAACGACGCATATTAAAGCCACAGCTAAAATAAAAGAGAAACGATATTTATTATAGTAAGACAAGTATGAACTTACCGAATACTGGAATACACGCAGCGACCAGAAAACATATAGCTGAACCGAACACTGTGGACATGAAGATAGTTAGAAGAAAGATAAAATATTGACTGACTGTTCGTTGGAGGCCAGTCATGAAATATGCAATTATCGAAAAAATGAAAGACGGAATAATACGCATTGGTAAAATATCACAGATGAGTTTGGCCACAAAAAAAGTTGAAGTTCGATAGTATCCACTGACATTCTCCTGTTGAAATTAATTTATATATATATATATATATATAGATGATGGAGATATGGAGAATAAAGACTTACATGAATGAAAAGAACGCGTTCTTTGAGTAATGGTTCTAAAGCAGTTACTGTACTGAAAACTTGACTAACAACAATGAAAAAAATGGCACCTAAACGATTTGGAACACCATGTTTTGTCGTTAGATCCATATTATAAAAAATTAGGCCAACAAGAAAACCAATAATGATGGCGTTAATTGTTTGTGAAAGTGCTAGCTGAGGATTTCGTATGGCATTTTTTAATGTTCGTTGGGCAAGATAAAAGATTTCACTTCTCAACGGACGATTTTCTTTATCTGGTCTTTCGCCATTCTCATCATAAATCTCATCCTCATTTGGATCTAAATCAGCAATAAGTTCTGACATGCGCGCTTGCATTGGAGAACGAAGATACGCTTTAGTCAATTTTTTCAAAGAATCCTTGGTTTTCGATGCTTCAATAAGTACATCCAATGCAAAATCAGCGGGATTATCATACTTTTCGCATTGATAATTATGCGTAGCAAAATAGGGAACAACTTCATTAGGTGGACCTTGATAGATACATTTGCCTTTACAAAGAAGAATGATATTATCGAATAATTTGAAGATCGAATAACGAGGTTGATGTATCGAAAAGATGATGGTGCCTATTCAAGAGAAAAACAAATTCAAATTATGTCTAATATGAAAATGAGGACTTACAACCACGACGAGATAATTGATGTAAACAAGTCATCACGTTGAAGGCAGTTGACGCATCAAGACCTAAAACACTTTTTTTGTGAAAACAATTTTTTATTTAAATTTCTGGCAAAAACCTGTTGTTGGTTCATCGAGAAAGAGAATTTTAGGTGAGAGAACAAGTTCCATACCAATACAGGCTCTTTTTCGTTCACCACCTGATACACCACGTGAAAATTCAGTGCCTATACGAGTATTAGCACATGCTTCCAATCCCAGATCCGTAATAATTTGATCAACACGCTCTCGACGTTCCTGCATCGATACATTTTTCGACAAACGAACGTTAGCCGAAAAAATCAAATTCTCACGCACAGTCAATGTTCCACTAATGATATCATCTTGAACAATATAGCCAACCATGTATTTATAAGATGCTGGCAAAGGTAATCCATCGACTAAGACTCGTCCTGATAGACCACGCGGATCTTTACGTGCAGCAAGAACATCCAGTAATGATGATTTTCCACAACCCGTTGGACCTTAGATTTGATGATACAAAAAAATCATTAGTTATGTATCTATTTTTCTCTGAAATCATTTAAAAATTGAATAGGTCTATAAATATAACTCTAAGAGTAAACTTTAAATGTTAATATGAAATAACTGATGTTACATCATCAATGCACACCTATAAGAAAAGACAGACTTTCTACATACCAAGAAGAGCGTTCATGCCTGATTCAAAACGACCAGAAACATCGAAGAGAACTTGTTTACTTCTTTTTTTTGGGCGAGTTTGCCCACCAATAAAAGGTAAATTGATTCGGCGTTTGTTTCCACTCTTAACCACATAACTAATATTATGAAAAGAGAGCGAAACAGGAGTTTGCTCAGTCTTATCACGAGTCCCAAATAACATATGATTATGCGGAACTGATTGTCTCCTAAGAAATAGATATGTCAAATAAGTTTAAAGATATTACACATGATAGTCGAAATATTTATAAATCACGAGAAAAGCGGTTCTTTTCGTCAACATACTTTTTTGCCAAGTTGTTACTGGTAGTTCTGAAAGCTGGGCTCATGTTCATTTCATTTGGTGCCCACTGATAATAGAAAAAAAAGACAAATATAATGTATCCATCAATTTGATTTCTTACTTGATCTTCCTCATCCTCTTCTTCTTCTTCGTCTTCTACTTTATTATCCAAATGCAGTATTTCTCGAATACCTTCTATTATCGTTTGACGATATCGATAAATGAAAAAACTACCGATGCCAAGTAGAGCACTAGTAACAATGGAAGAAATGACAATAGCCGCAATAACACCATCTGAAAGGGGATTTTTATTGTTCGATTCTGGTACTATTGTCGTTGTTATATTGATAAGTGTCTAGCATTAACATATCTGTACCGATTATAATCATCAAATTAACTTACAATATGTGACATAGTCTTTTTATTTGTCTATTGTTCTGTAGTAAAATATGTTTAGTCTAACTGTAGCGAAAGATTTAGTAACTCAATTACCAGCTGCTTTCTATTTCATTATTAAGGTAATAAACAAAAGTATATATACATTCATATATTACCGTCTAAAAGATAAGATAACGAAAACAGCTTGAAAAAATTCTTTCACCACACGGTCAGCGCATTCGAAGGTAGCTGATGAAATTGTTATGCTTGTCATGTGTCCTTTGTCATAATAATGGTGATAAACGAAAAACGAAAATGTAAGAACGATGAATGGCGTGAGCGATAAAGAGTCAGACAATAGATGGTATGTGTTGATCTTATTTAAAAGTCATACACAATGGATTAGAAAGAAAATGTATATTGTAAATAAGCTTTTGGGTGAAGATTTATAACTGTCAGCGTATATAAAGAGAAAGCCCGCATCTACACTCATATCCTCGCTTCATTCACTTGTCTTTTCTTTTATTTCAGGTAAGAGAATCGGTGTGGTTTTATTATAAATTTATCTAAAACTTTACACAAGCACAACAAAATGTTATGCTTTTATTTGTGCATTATTCATCATGCGTATCACATTTAAGAAAAGTCGTATTTCATGTTGATATGACATCTTCCAAATGTTTCAACGCAACTGACCGTTGATATCAAATATTTTCATATGAGAATCACATACATATCTTTTTATTCTTTTTGAATTTTTTTTTCGTATATGTTATTGAGTTTATTGGCGAATGCAGGTATGATTGATTATCGTTTTATAAACATCATGTAACAGATCTACTTTCAATATTCGATCACCACTTAATTTAAATATCCTATAAGATTTACATGAATCTTGCGCATTTATTTTCAAAACGACATTAATCTCTCAGATTTTCATTTATTTCAAAATTCGAATTAGTCAACATAGAGCGATCATACCGATCGTCGTGAATTATATATTACGGCAATAATTACTGTCGTATACCGTCGATTCATTTTATGAGGGTCGAGACAATAGCACTGTTGTTCGCTGTCTATATTACTTACTGAGTTGTTTGTCTATAGACTTGATAATTCTTGATGAATTCAATGGTAAAGGATGACATAAGATAAAATCTGAGAAAAAATTTCGCGTATCGACGTTAAAAAAATTTCAATTGTTGCAGGACATTGATTGATGTACATTTTTTATGTCTATTAATTTTGACGATTTTATCCTTTTCGTCACGTACAAATTAGTTATACTCACACAATAAAACTATGCATTGAATCGATGAAGAAAATCTGATTTAACTCATCTAAAGTAAAAAACGAATTGTATTAAAATATAATTATAAAAATATTTTTATTTGCACATACACAGCTGCTGTTCTTTTTCCCGATGTCATGCCTGCTCGTAATGCTGTATGCAAAGTTTACTTTTCTATTCACCTCAGTACAAAAGAGAAGAATTGACTGGATTAAAAAGAATAAATAATATGTTGCAATTTTGCCATCGAATAGTTCGTTCTCTGCATCAATAAATATGTAAGTACCATATGTTTCATATTTGTTTGTAACTGGAAAAAAAGAAAATCGATTGTACCTAGTGATTACCTTTCAATAGAAAGGATGACCCGAAGATACTTTTTAAGCAGGTCATATAAAGAAAAAAAGTACATTAAAATAAAAATACGTGGGTGATGAGATCACGAACGAAATTTTGTTCTGTGACTGAATTCAAACTGTATATAAAGGCAGTATTTTTTAGTTAAACGAAAACATCATTATTAACAACACCAAGCAAATCATCCACATTCAATACAAAATGAAATCACTTATTATATTAGCTATGGTAAAATTTCTAGATTAAGGTTCTGCTTAATCAATTATTTTATTCTAGCTCATTCTCGCTACAATGGTATTTTCAGCACCACCACCACCACCACCGTCAGGAGCAGGTGCACCGCCTCCACCACCGTCAGGATCAGGTGTACCACCACCACCACCAGCCGGCTCAGCACCAGTAACATCAATGCCACCACCACGACCACCTCCACAAGGTGGAAGTACACCTAAAACAAATGGTGCAAAATAAATTTCATTCTTCTCAAATTAAATATCAAAGATCTGCCATTTTTCCTATTCTCCATAAGTATCCCAACAATAAAGACAAAGCATTTTTTTCATTCGTACCATTTTATTATATCTCAACTATAACTAACCTAATATTCAATAAAGAAAACAAAATTTAAAGTGTACAATTCTTTTTCAATGCATTTTTTCAGAACAATACTATTGATTACTGATATAGAAAATTTATACTTTATTTCAATATAATAAAAGAAACCTCAAAATTATCATTTGAATTAGTCTCGTACATAAGTTCTCCCTCTTTTCATTCTATATGTTACTATGTTTTATTGATTTTGTAACATATTTTTGAGACTGTAGATGAAATAGATATCCATGTCGACATTCTTATGATAGAAAAAAAGATGTCATTTATTTTGCTAATATTTTCTATAGTAGTGTGTGGTTTGAGTTTCTAAAACTTGAATATCTCAATGATGACGCGATATTTTTTGCATAGATTTGTTTCAAAATTGATTTTAGAATATTCTGTATTTGAACTTTATACTATTACAAAATTCATTAATTCAACTTCCATGAATTCTGAAAAGAATCTTAAGGATGAGTGTGAGTAGTTTTTTTTATTTAACCTATGCTTCATACTCACACCCATCCACAACCTTCAGTTGCTGCAATTACCGGTAAATATACTTTGAATAAAGAACAAGGAGCTGCATTTATAATAATATATGACACTAACTGTCAGCTCATAATATGTATCTGTTTATGCGGTGCCACAAGCAAACCGCGAGTAATTCTTACTGTCACTAAATACTTGTTGTTTACAAAAAGAATGTAAATGGTGATGGTATGCGTGAATCATCGTTTCAACTTTATCAAAAATTTATATCTACACTTACATCGCTCCTATCAATGCTTCAAGACTAAGAAGCAGAACGCAAGAATAAATAAAGAAGATGAATGAAATGTATATTTTTCCTAACATACTAAAGTATAGAATAGGTATATTATTTCATTCAATTGAGTTTTAACAAAGCGACTGTTATTTCTGATTAAAATTTTGCTTTTAATGATTAACATACGTGAATTGTTGGTGAGTGCTAACGAAATGAGAAAAAATGGTAAATAAGATTATTCATTTGTTTCGGATTAAGAACATTAGTTTGAAGTAATGAAACTTGACAATAAAAACTTCTACTATTGTCTTAGTACGTCACTATTCAAGTTTTATTTATGTGTTATCATCATGAATTAATGACTAGAAAAGAAATATTTACGACAACAAAAAGTAACAGAAAGAAAAGAGAAAGTGACGCATTGAATTACACAATTCAATGTGTGCTTATTCTTATCCTTATCTGTTGAGTTTTGTTATTGCAGATATTTCTTCTTTGTCCATTGACTCATGATACTGAGGTATATAATATCGATCGAAACTCCAGTAGTGGTATGTTAAGTGAAATTTAAATATATTGAAATCTCTGCTATTCGTTTATCAGTTTTATTTATTTCTATATGTTCCTCAATCTTATTCAGTAATACATTAGTGAATGTGAGCATAGGACTTCGCTCATGTTTTTTGTTATTAGAAGTTTAAAACATGATCTCATGTATCCTTATATTCTTGAAGCATTCAACGCTTGACGGTATACTGAATAGGAAAGCCATAGAGTATGAGTGAGAAATTCAAGTAGCTAGAACTGCCGATTTCCAACATCTGTAAAGAGTTGCACAGCTTTTCATCAAAGAACGGATATGGTTTTTAGATTCAGTCGAAGAAATGATTTGTAAAACTAAACCATTCGCAAGTTTCACATTATTTTTGGCCGAAATCATAACTCAGGTAGTCCAAACATTTAGAAAACTTTTTTCAAAAACTGGTGCAACCTAAAATATTATTTAGCTCGAGACTAGATTTTCCTGTCGAAACTGAGTCTTTTGATTGAAATGTAGAGTATATTAAAAAGTTCGGTCGATCATAACTCAACAATACAGAAATGAAAGGGGTTTCTATCTTGAATCTAACAACAACTTTTCTTCTCTTTTCAGACCAGCTATTTCGGCAAAAGGGTAGTAATTTCATATATACATTATTTTTACTCCAGTAAGAAATAATATTCAAAGACTAGAAATGGTACAATTAACAAAATCAGAACAATTATACAAAGAGGAATATTCTAAACCTGATACGAAATATCAAACTAGACTGGAAGATCTGTTCGGTAAACATTTTAATCAACTTGCAATTGATTTATCTACCTATGGTATTGTTGTACTAAAGGAATATTTCTCCGGTGATGCACTGAAACAAATGCAAATCGATTTTAATGGCTGGTGCACAACAAAAAAGCCTGATGTACATAATCACATACAATTCGATGGAACAGCAACAAGTGAATGTTATTTAACAAAGTCAGAAGCACTTAGTAAAGCAATCACTGAACCTTTGTTTTGGGCACTTGGTGCACATTGCTGGGGTCGTGATCCTAAACTGGCATTTTCGCGTGGCTATCGAATTGGCCCTATAAATCCCATAGAATATCGTGCTTTTCGCTTACACAATGATGGTCATTATAAAGAATTAAAAATAATGATATTATTAACGGATGTACCTGAAGGAGGTCAAAGCATGTACTATTGGCCAGGTACACATAATATTGATTGGAATATACATTCTAGCAGAGATACACTCTTTACTAAATCAGATATTCAACAAATTGGAGAATCGATTGAATGCTGTGGCCCTGCTGGTTCTGTTTTTATATTCAATACGTATGCTATTCACAAAGGAACTCGAACTAAGTCTCGAACAAATGATATGACACGTGATACATTAGTTTTTAACATTACTGGTGGCAAACGTGAGTATCCTATACCACCATTACACGAAAATGTTCAAGTAAATTTAACGGATTTTGAAAAGTATATGTTCAGAGTGAAACAAGAAGATAAATTATTAGAGACAGATGGCGAAATGCCAATGCAAGCTCCATCCAATATACGTGATGAATACTTCATGATTAATAGTGAATATATCAAAAAAATGTCTAGTCAATTTCAAGCGATGATGAAACAATTTCCTTGGCTAACAACTATACCAATACCTTATAGAGAAATACCTTGTATACGTGAAAAAACAATCATCTCAACTCCCCTTATTGACTATCATTTTCCTGAATTTATTGAAATAAGCGGAAGCACACCAAACTATGACTTTAAAGAAATACTCAGTCAAGATCTACATAGCGAACTCGATTTACCTATTCGTGAATTTTCGGGCTTGATCGATCGACAGCGTGATTTAGCATTGGGTGATATTCGCGATCGTTTAATGAAAGAGAAAAAGATTGATCAACTCGCATTTATCTTAAGCCGGTTGGATACTAAAACCGTAACAATCGGTGCAAACTTTGCTGAAGAACTACCCAATCAGATTGTTAAAATTATTGATGCTCTTAAAATATCAACATTCACTTTGTTGGAAAACAATGAAAAGCCTTATTTACTTGATAATTATAGACTTTTTGCCATCGATCTTAAATATTGTCTCACTACAGCTGATTCATATGCTTTAATGAAATCAAGTTTGGCTTTTATACTAGGTATTCTGATGTATTTACAAGACAGAGCAGATAATATGCAGTTATCCTTGGATGAACAAAAAACAATACTCAATATATTAACACAAGCATCATGTGTTTATCTTTATTACATTTGTCATCATTTTAAAAAAGTAGCGTTGCTAGATAAATGTGAAGAAACAAACAATTGTTCCCTTTAAAAAATATGACTCAATGTTAATAAAATACAGTTGCTGTTCTTTTTTCAGATGCTATGCCTACTCTACTTCGCATACATTCAGCTCGTGATGCTGCATGCAAAGTTCACTTTTCTATTCACCTCTGTACAAAAGAAAAAAATTGTTTCGATTTGAAAATAATAAATAATATGTTGCAATTTTGCCATTGAATACTTCGTTCTCTGCATTAATCATTATTTAAGTGCCATTTGTTTCATATTTGTTCGTAGCTAAAAGAAAAAAAAGAAAATCGATTACATCTAGCGATTACTTTTCAAGTAACCACGTGCAAATAAATTTGGATAGAAAATATGAACTGAAAATACTTTTTTAGCAGAGTACATAAAGAAAAAAAGTACATTAAAATAAAAATACGTGGGTGATGAGATCACGAACGAAATGTTGTTCTGTGACTGAATTCAAACGTATATAAAGGCAGTAGTTTTTAGTTAAACGAAAACATCACTATTAACAACACCAAGCAAATCATCCACATTCAATACAAAATGAAATCACTTATTATATTATCTGTGGTAAGATTTGTAGACTTAGTTTTTTTATGACATATTATTTTGTTTTAGCTCATTCTCGCTACAATGGTATTTTCAGCACCACCACCACCACCGCTGCCACCATCAGCACGAGCACCACAACCAGAACCACAACAACAACAACCACCACCAAAACAACAACAACAACAACAACCGCCAAAACCACAACAACAGCCACCACCACCACCACCACCACCACCAAAAGCTGGCTCATCGTCAGTATCATCTACGCGACGTTCATCACCAGCTAGTTCATCGTCAGTAACAACTGTACCACCTCAAGAAGCAGCTGGCTCATCGCAGGTAACATCTGTAGTACCTCAATCAGCAGCTGGCTCATTGGAAGTAACATCCATGCCATCCGGTCAAGGCAATACTGATGCTCCACAAAGTGGAACCGAACCTGTACCAAATGGTGACAAATAGATCTTATTCTTCTCAAATTAAATCCCAAAGATATGCCATTTCTTCTATTCTCCACAATTATCTCAATAATAAGGACAAACCATTTTTTTATTCATACCATTTTATTATATCTCAACTATAACTAACTCAATATTCAATAAAGAAAACAAAATTTAAGGTGAATAATTCTTTTTCAATGCATTTTGCCAAAATAATGCCCTTGCCCACTAATATAATAGAAGCAACTTCAAAATGCACATTTTAGTTGATCTTATACATAATATAATCTAACGCAATGTATTCCGATAGGATCCTCTCCTTCTCTTCATTATATTTATTATTATATTTTATTGGTTTTGCAACATATTTTTGAGAGTGTAGATGAAATAGATATCCATGCCGAAAATCTTATGATACAAGAAAAGATTTCATTTATTTTGCTAATATTTTCTATAATAGTATGTAGTTTGAATTTCTAAAAACATGGATATCTCAATAATGATGTGATATTTTCTGCATAGACTTGTTTTAAACTTGATGAAACATTTGTTGCTATAAAATATAGAAATATCACTGAAATCAACTATTATCAACTGAACAACTCATGTAAAAGATTTTACTATCAAATGAAAAAAAATCATCTAGTTTGACCATCTTGAGGGTGTGGGTGTGGGTGTTATAGCCTTTTTATACTCACCATCAT